TTTTTCTGAGGCTCACCCTATTTCTTCCCATTATACCTGCAATTTGGCCACTTCGCAGCAGTAAAACGTAGGAGTGTGTGTGTGTATTTTGTAAAACAACTGTCAGACTTTGTAGCAGGTGATAAATTGTTAATCAACATGAAACAGCGACTCTCTTTAGGGTAAGGGCAAAATCAAGAGCACTTTTAGAATTTAAAATATTTAAAATGATGTTTATCCAGTAGGAAATGAGCACTCTGATTTTTATTTGGGGGATAAAAGGCTTGAGACAAAATGCTAATGATGATCATTAAGGAAAATAAAAATTTGATTTGCTTTCCAGGAATGTGAAGCACTAACATAAATAAATTAATATAGGTGTATAGATGAAAAATAGACTATAAATATAAAAATGTGTATATAAACATGTATATATTATATATGTATTTACCTATATAGGTGCTCAAGGTAGATACATGAATATTTAATATGATTTGAAATGAAAAATCAAATATCTCCTAATTTTTTTTAGCAGTTCATAAAAAACACTTCATGAAGAATATTTTGTTAAGATAAATTTTAGAATAACCCTTAAAAAAGATTTGTTAACGTATATTTTCTAGTTGTATATTATGTGTACAGTTCCTTCCTGAAATTTCTAAGTTTTATTACCATAGGACAGTTACATCATAACAGACCTGGCAAACATTTACATTTAAGTGGAAAAAAAATAAAAGGACTAAAGAAAGTAAAATTCAAAGAAGGAAAAAGCAAAAAACAAAAATTATACTTCGTTATTTTAATGGATTTTAAAATGTATAAGCACTTTGATAGATTCTATTTTATGTAGGATTTGCTGGTTTTCAAAGTATATAATGCAACAAAAAAGTGAACCTAGCTTCTTTTTTTCTTGTTCATTGGAGCTATCACGTCTCATCTATCAGACTTCTAAGTAGAATTTTAAAAGTGGGGTACTCTCTCACGCCCAAGCACTGTGTAATTAGCATATGAATGTGTAACGGATTGTTTGAAGTAACAATTAAGGAGAACAATGCATAAAGGGGCTGAAGAGAGCTCCCAACACCTGGGAACCTTGTATTGAAAACGCTTTCCTAATGTAAGTAATTAAAAACCAAGGACAAATGTTCCTTGTATAGGGATAAAAGCCCTACAAGGAAAGCTAAAAATCTGCTGATATTTTGCTGTCATCCTTTCGAATTAATCATTAACACAAGAGCTCACTGTGTTATTTATTTCAATAGAATCCTTGTTAAATGGGGGTTTTTGTATGGTGCCTGATCTAAAGTCACTGAAATGCAGTTAAATGACAAAATATCTTACTTTTGGAAAATATTTATACTTCAAATATGGAAAAGATTACAACGAATCTTTTCCTTATGGTCAGTGCAGCGTTTATGAGGAAAATTTTAACTGATTGATGGATCAAATCAAATATATGCTCAATTCTTTGTCATTTATTTGTCCAAATAATTTCTACTAGTTAAACTGTATTCCTCTTTATTCTTTTGCTTTACTTTGTTCCTCTGGGAAACATGCCTGATACAGGGGCTCATGCTCAGGCAAACTCAGGGTGTTGGGAATTCTTGATACTGGGGTAAGATCAGTGGCGTAGCAGGCAAGGCTATGCATTATTACAGTTCCCATCTTATAACTTACAGACTGTACAAGCCACTTGCATTTCTGTAGCATAAACTGCCTTATCACTAAAACGGAATTATTTTTTCTAGACTGTTAAGTCTGAGTCCATAATCTTTTATGGTCCTTTTCTAATATTCAGTTGGATATACAGTATTATTCACTTATAATGAAGAAGCTCTTTTCCTTAGAATTTAATTTATTTAGTCACAAATGACCAATATTTTATGGGACAACTCTTTTGGAAGAATGAATTATGAATGTAATATTTTATTAATTAGAAAACAGCAAATATAGAGATGAATAGTCATAACAGCATCATTCATAATAACCAAAAAGTGGAAACAACTCAAGTATCCGTCCATTGATGGATGGATAAATACAGTGTAGTGTATCTATCATAGAAACAAAAATTGTACCAGACAAAGTTAAGCAGGCAACAAAGAGTTTATTCAAGGCTATCTTAATAGAGAAGCCAAAACCAATCTGAGCTCAACTCTTTTTTTCTTTTTTTGTTAAGTCACAGTGTTGAGACATTTGTGTTCAGTTGAGCTCAACTCTTAGGACAAACAGGGGTGAAAGATTTTTAGGACTGGAGGAGCTACTAGAAAAGAGCTGCAGGACATTCGGGATAAGTCGTAAGTTATCTGTGTCTGCTCATGGACTTTAGCCCCCCCATAAATAAACTCATACTTTAGGATGGGAGGTAGTTTTACAGCTTTGAGCAAACCCCCCCAACTGAAGTTAGGGTTCTACCCTTCACCTAAACCGGGAGATAAGGATGTTATTTCTTTTGTTGATTACATCTCAAAGAGGTTGTTTTCAGGCCCTTGATAACTGTGCTTCTGGGGAGTCAAATTGTCAGGTGGCCAGTGAAAAGATTTACACCTCAAAGGGACAGAGAAAGTGGCACAACATCTGAAGTAAATGCTGTAAGAAAAGGAAAGTCAAGGGCCCACCGTTAGGAAACAGACTTTCTAAAATTAGGTAAGATTCAGGGAACGTTAAGCTGTCGTGCTCACCACTCAGTAGAATATCCTTGGACAGTGAAAAAGAATCAGTATTTATACATGCGGCATCATGGATACATCTCAAAGACATTGCATGAAATGAAAGAAGTGAGTCTGGAAAGGTGGTGTAGTGTGTGGTTCTGTTCATATAGAAATGCCCACAACAGCCAGATCTATATGGACAAAATAGATCAGTGGTTGCCTGGGGCCCTATAGGGACTGGGGTGGGATATGGGGGCAGCTAACAGGTGTGGAGTTTCTTGCAGGGGTAATGAAGCTGTTCTGAAATTATTTGTAGGGGTGGCCACATAACTCTGTAAATATACTAATTGAATTAAATTGTGTACTTGAATGGGTGCGTTGTGTGATAGATAAATTATATTTCAATAACAACATTATGAATATATGTGTTGAAATGTGCTGTGTGTTCAATGGAATATTTACCTAGTTATATGGATTTAAAAAATTATACAAAAAAAAAAAAAAGCCCAACCTTTATTTCTCCAAGATAGGTTATGGATTCTGAATGTGTATAGTCTTTTTAAGTTTTTATGAAATAATTTATCATTTATTCATTATGATGTTGTAATAATCAGCGAAAATTTAACATGAAAGAGAGGAAAATAATTTCTCAAATATCTTGAGGTTTTTGTATCTGTAACATTGGAAGCTGTCAGCAAGGAGAAAACTGTAAAGAAAGAATGAGAAATATAGTTTCTTTTCCTAAATAATGAAGACACTGTGTGTGTGTGTGTTTGTATGTGCAAAGTAAATGCTTGCTTTTGAATGAAGGCTATATTCACAAACCCCTGATTTAGGAATATATACTGTTCCATAGGTTCATTTGTCAAATAGCTATCTGTAGCTTCTTCAGCCAATGCTGATCATATTCTAAACCTAGCCTACAAAGATTTAGTTTATCCATAATGTAGCTGAAATGAGTATTAATGTTGGTTCAGTCTGGGATTAAGAGACAGTGACACAGGAGGGAGGAAAATGACTCGTAACACCTCTGTTTCTTGAGTACAGGCATTGCTCCAGGCAAAATGCAGAATCATGCAGAGTGAGACCTTGGTTTCCACTTCAACTTCCTTTCTATATCCCTTGCCCCATGTTCTTGATCTAGAGTCTTTCTTTAGCATGCGCTAAGAGTGCCTTCCAGTTGTGTCACCTCACTCAGGCATCTCTGTTAGCCCAAGGAACAGTTTCACCCCCATTCTGTAACAACACACACACATTTAAATTCCAGCTTTTTCAAGGTAGCAATTTTCATTTGCATTAGAAGGGAAGCACTTTTTTTTTATTAAATCATAGTTGTGCACATTAATAGTTTCATGGGGTACAGTTGTTTCCATATACAAGTTGAAATACTTTCATCCAATTGGCCAACACTCCCTTCATGTCACTCTCATAGTTGTTGTGTTAAGACGTTTTTATTCCACATTTAGAAAGATTCACATGTAACCTTATAGGATAAATAAAGAAAGTTGGAGACTTTACCTCCTTCATGTTTACATGGATGGAACTGGAAAATATTCTTCTTAGCAAAGTATCTCAAGAATGGACAAAAAAGTATCCAATGTACCCTATTATGAAACTAATTTTTAGTGGGAAGCACATTTTGAAAGCGTGACAATCTTTGGGTCTCCTCGAAGCACTTACAAATAAAACTTGGATTATATTCATTTATGCAACTTAGGTTAGCAAAGAGAAAAAAAGAAATAAAATGTGGGTTGTAAACCCCAAATGACTTTAATTGGTAGTGTTTCAGGCATTAGATTTAGGGAATGGTAAGAAAAATTAGGAGGTATGACAGGCTGTCCCCTCTGACTTCAGCCTCTCTTTGAGATGGACTTCTTCTAACCTGTTCCCAGGTTATGGAAATATTCGCTTTGCTCCTGTATGAACTTCAGCATCCTTGTACTTTCTAATATGTGCACTAACGTATGTTAGAATGGGGATGTTAGAGTCTATGATGGTGGTAGTTGACATTAAGGGGACATAGTGGAAAGGTGACCTGGATGGAAGTACTCAAGAGCCATTTAAAGTATGAAAGATTTGGGTTTCCCATATTTTTAAATTTTGGACACCTGATACTAATTTGAAAGTAGGAGACAGCAATCACAGACCCACTCAAGAGAAAATCTCAATTAAATCCAAGAAGGGGGGGGTTCAGGAGCTTCACACCCAAGGGGTACACGCCCTGGTATGGGACACAGCCACAACTCTGACTTTAACCTTTCATGTATAAATTATATAAGCTAATCGTTTATATCTTTGTATTAATATGAAATAAAAAAATTGGGACACTGTTTTTCCACACACTGATCTCTTGGCTTTTTTTGGTTATAGATTGGGCTCATGGATACTACAGACAACAGAGAAAACTTGTTGAAGAGATTGGCTGGTCCTATACAGGTAAACGTATTTTTTATATAGTGAGATGTAGCAGAAAGTTTTATTGCTTTATGTATATTGCATATGTAAAATGAAACTTTGAAGTACAACACATTATTTTAACATAACTACATGGATAGTCAGGTTAATGAATAAGGTATATCAAATAAAAAATGATCTCTAGTGGGCTTTCCGTAAGCAACTTTGGTAGTGAGGAGCATATCGCTAAGCCGGAGCTAGATTTAAATCCCAGGCCCACGCTGACTATGCGTGTATCAACCTTGGGAAAGATACATAACCTACTGAGGCTCAGTTTTTCGTCAGTGTAGGAGGGTGCTGTTCTGAGCATTAAATGAGATAAAGTGTAATGCCCTTGTACAGACGCTCCTTCTAAATAGAAAGCACTCAGTAAATGTCAGCTGCTGTTCTCATGAGCATGCTATTTTTATTTTTTATTCACTCAACAAAGATTGATGGAATTCTTGTTCTCCCAAGAGACTTTCTTCTGAACTACTATGGCTGAGTTCGTTGAGTCAGAGTCTAAAATGATTTTGTCAAAGTATCAGACTTGGTTTAGGATTCTGTGAATTTTCTGAACTTGGGAGTCTAGAGTATTGAAATACAACTTCTGATTATATGATCTAAAAATATTGTTGCTATTAGTGAATTATCTGGGAAATTTCTCTAAAATTACTTTTGTTATAATATGTAAAATTTTAAATGCTTCTCCTAATTTTTTTTTTTGTTGGCATCATGCTATAGTCCTTAAAAATTAATGTTGTCATTTGTTTTTACAAAATGAAAGCTGCTTTTAGACAGAAAGTAATACACATATGTTGACATCAAAAGTAAATCTTTTGGGCTCAGCACCCGTAGCCAAGCAGGGTGCCAGCCACATACACCAAAGGTGGCAGGTTCAAGCCCAGCCTGGGCCTGCTAAACAACAACAACAACTGCAACCAAAAAATAGCCAGGTGTTGTGGCAGGTGCCTGCAGTCCCAGCTACTGGGGAAGCTGAGGCAAGAGAATGGCTTAAGGCCAAGAGTTTGTGGTTGCTGTGAGCTGTGATGCCACAGCACTCTACTGAGGATGACATAGTGAGAATCTGTCTCAAAAATAAATAAATAAAAATAAAAATAAATCTTTTACATTAAGTTTCATTATATACTATCACGTGGCTTATATGTTTATCAAGTAATGTAATATTGTGTTACTATCTTTTCAAAAACTTTATAATTTTATATGCTTGATCACTTTATATCTGGAAACCGTAACTCGTATTGTCCTTTTTTTCCTTGAAAAGAGAAAGCTTAGTGTTTTGTAAAAATTACAGCTATTGTTTTATTCTCCCAGTGATTACATTGCACATGTCAGGAGAGATTATGAATTCTCAGAGTGTATCCCCAACCCTGGAAGATGACATTACAAGGGAAAGCTCTGAGTTCTCTGGGAAAATATTGCTTAGGTCACTATCTGGGCAATATCCTTCAAAACATCTTTGTAGATTGTTTGTGTGGGTATCACTGGTACTAGTTTGGGAATGTTGCTTCCAGGATAAACTTTTCTCCAAAGAATTTTTCATGATGATTAAAGGTGTACATGTTTTAGCTTCATATATTCATATTTTTACGTTTAATTCATAAGAATATAGCAAGCCATCTTTTAAAAACTCCCCACTTTGTTGTTTCTAATAAGGTGTTTGCTCCATTTAAAAAGCAATATGCAGCTGTTGTAGAAAACTTGATACATAGAGATACGATCGTAAAATAAAAATCAGACTGGTTTAGTTTTATTAACAACTAGCTTCCTAGAGCAGAGGAGGAACTAAAAGCAGTTTATTTTTCTCTGACCACTGAACCTTTCAACAGGGGACTCAGATATTGACCAGGTACAAACGAGCAAAGTAAAAAGCAAATTCTAATGTAACCTCTGTTCTCTCTAAACCCAGAGTCAGAAAACAGAAGATCTACCACCTGCAACAGTGTTTTTCAACTTTTTTAATCTCACGGCACACTTGAACCTAGTTAAACTTCCACAGTACACTTGTTGATCAAAATAAAAGTAAAAAAATGTATACACACACACACATATATATATATACACTCCATTCATTCATGGATCGATGGGCTCTTGGCTTCTTCCATGACCTGGCAATTATGAATTGGGCTGCAATAAACATTCCGGTACAAATATCTTTGTTGTAGTATGATTTTTGGTCTTCTGGATATATACCTAGTAGAGGAATTATAGGATCAAATGGCAGGTCTATTTTTAGTT